AAGCACACGAGAAGTATATGCAGTAATTTTTTTAGGCCGTCCATTTCCTCCAGCATGCTTTATTGAACCATTTTTTTATTTTTTGTATGTTTCTATAAATTGTTGATAGTGATATTCGTTAATTTATGTAATTCTTTGGCATTATGAATGCCATATTCCACAAATGTAATAGGGGTTTCATTACAGTTTTTTTTCGTTAGGGAAGACATTTGGTGGGAATTTTTTCATGAAAAAAAGGAAGGGTGCCGCCAACACAATATTTCTTTTGTACCAGGTGATACAAATTTTATTTTAGCGAATGAAAATCATTTAGTGTCACGTGAAATTTTCTCCTTTTTTTTGTCCTAACTGTCAATTTCCTGAAAATCCCTTCATCTCATATACCATACCAAGTCCGCTTTTTTTATAACATTTGAATGCTGGACGTGAACGATTAAATTAAGGAATCCAAATCATTCGCTAATATTATATATTAGCTTACTGAGTCAATGCCGTTCAATTGGGATTTAAATTAAGATTCTTTAGAGTTTATGTCATCCATTTTTGTCAAATAGGTAGTTAACTGTTATTAATATCTATTAAACACTAGTTTGCACTTTTTGTAAAAATATCAGTTTTATTCTTATGACCCTGGTCTTCTTCAGATATCCCAGGGTACTGTGTAATAAAATGAAACCAATCAACTTTAAGACTGAAAATCTAAAAAAAAAACCACACCTTTTAAAGTTTCAAATAGGTGTAAAATGTTTAAATAAATAAAGATTCTTCTTTATAATAACCTGCTTTAGGAATCGCTTTTGTTAAATGGATAAAAGAAAGAAGAAATAATCAATAAGAAGTATGGTATAAATAAAAGACAAACATTTGAAAAATGTCAGTAGTAAGTCACATATCCTGATATTTAATAATTTGTCTTAATGGTATTCCCAATGCAGTTTGAAAAAAAAATTCTAATTGACCGATTGTATTCAAATACCTATAAATAAGTCATCCTAATATGTAATTATGACGTTTAAATCAAAATGAAAAGAAAAAAAAATAAATCTATAATGACATTATAGATTTTATGAAAAATGAGTTTATAGAATATTTGCAAGAAATCACTTTGATGCAACTTTACCTTAAGCAGAAAATGCAACAAGAATGTTAAGTTTATGAGATAAAGTCAGAAACTAAAGAACATCATTACAACATTACAACAGAAACTTATCATGAAAAACAGAAGTTATCTTAATGTTTACAATAAAGACAAGAAAACATTATTTATTACAGTAGCAAGATTATTCTGAATCTAAAGATGATGAAAAAAACATTGAGTAAGAACTTTAACATGATAATGATCTTGGACTTAAATTAGAGAGAAAGTGAACAATTGATGTTGGAATAATAAAATTTATTATTGAAACAATTGCAGCTTCATCAATATATGAATAAAGAACCATATAAACAAGTAAAGCAATAATGATAGTTACAAATACAACAAAGATGAGAAAATAAACTGTTGCAATTACAATTATAACAATAATAGCAGCAACAACAACAACCCTAACAATGGTTATTATTTAGTAACAATAACAACAAAAAATATATAAGAATTATTGTAACAACACCAGAATTAGCATCAACTTTGTCAACAAAAATTGCTATAACATCACCAACCAATTTTTTACTTATTATTTTGATCTAGACCAAAAATGATAATATTTAAAGAAAGCGTATATTTATTCAATTTAAAACACACAGGTAAATTAGTAAACTACTTTCACATATTCAAATATTGATACTGGTAATGTTTTTGTTTAAGACAATTCTGGAGTCACAAGATATTTTATAGAGCAGGAATAAATGCTAAATCAAGAAATGTAACATCTAAGCAATATAAATTGTTATACCATAATTCAATTGGTAATATTCAAGATATTCAAGCTATTGTTTAATAGCTATACAATAATATTCATTTTCATAAAATCATTTAGGGTCATTTAGTAGTCAGGAAATGGATAAATATGACAAGGGTGGATTTTTTGTTTATAATCTTTTAGTTAAAAAGGTTGAAGATATATAACATTTGAACCTTTAGGTGTTTAATATGAAAGATAGGTAATAATAAAATGTTTTTTTATGCCAATATCTAGTTCAAGACCTTCTTTAACTACAGTATTTGTATGCCTAATAATTTATCACGTTTGGTTAATGATTCATTTCAAAGATCTTAGATTGCTTTAAATTCGCTCAGTACAGTATTAATCAATAGTGACTTAACCCTTTTGATATAAAGACTTCAATACAAATACACCATTTTATAGATATCAGTTTTTTAGATGAAATAACGTTTTTAATGGGAGTGGATGAGAAGATTTGAACTTAACAAATGATGCATGTTGACAAACAGATAGTTTTACATTTAACAATGAAAATTTGTCTCCTTGTGTACAAGCTCCTAATTCACTTAAAATCTGAATCATTAATGAGTATTATTTTCCCAAATTGTGTATCAAAAAATATATAATGCATCAACAAATATCTACAGCAAAGTTAACATGCTTATTCAGATACTTTTATTAGTCAACAAAGCTATATAACATCTAGCCTGTATTTGCTCCTATTATAAATGCATCCAATTCTCTGTTTATTAATACTTTAATGAGATCTTTAGGTTGATCAACAACGTTGGCTGAATAACTTACTCCTTTTCATCATTAGAGTTCTGATATCAGATCTACTTCTTCACATATTACACAGTCAAATGAGATCAGATATTTCAATATGATCATTAAATATTAATTAGATTTCTAGTTAACATAATAAAAGAAAATATGAAATTATGAATGAAAATAGTCAAGATCTGTCCATTGAACATAAAATTAATGATGTAATTAAATTTATAACAAAATTTTAAAGAAATTATTAGTTACGAAGGCTGTTTAGAATAACTTCATTACTTTTAATATTTTAAAAGAATTTATAAGTGAAAGAATATAAAAGATTTGCTTATCAAATTTTAAATGCTTATTCTATTAAGGATTTGAATCATATGCTAATTTCTTTTAATACTCAAAATAGTAATTATTCTGATGAAATTAAATCAAGAATAGAAAAAAATTTGGTAATATAGTTAATAAAATTCAAGCTTATGCGAAAATTTAGTATTATTATGATTTAGATATAAGAAATATAGGACGTTGAAGTAGATAAGAAAAAGGAGAGAAAATGATGATTCCTTTTCTCAGAGATGAGATACCTTTAAAAGTAAATAAGAAATCAATAAGCAAACACAAATCAAAATACTTTCAAAGAATATTACCAATGAAATTTTATTCTTTTATTCAAATAAAAGATTGTATCATTTAAAATCCTCTTACAAGAAATTCAGGTTGAAGAAGAATAATGCAAACAAAAGCAAGAAAACGTAAAATTGGCTTCTATTACTCAATAAACTTTTGATTAAAATATTGTTAAAGTATCTTAACCATTAAAGAATAATGAAAATAATAGTCCTATCACTTCTTCATCACCTCTATAAGCAAAAGATAATGATCTCGCTACTCATAAAACTCCTTTACTATATAAAATTTAAGAAATGAAAGCTTGAACATAAAGCTGCTGCTTTTATAGTTATAGCTCATTTCATCATATGTTTCAAAGGAAAAATCAATATCTTTAAATTCTTCTTGAAGAATTGGTTCAAATTCATCTAATATATCTAGCTAGTCTTCTTTTCTACTTCTCTTGTTATTACTACTTAGCATAATATTCAAACAATTTTGCTTCACCTAGAAAAATTCAGAAATAAGAGGAAGAAGTAATAAAAAAATGTGAAATGCAGCAACAAGTATTATTTGAATTTAATTCTGATGCTAGATCAGCGGCCATAAATAGTATAAAAATGTTATGCTATACAGTAGCTGTAAGAAATGAAACAAAAGTAAGCATCAAATTTTGTATAAAAATATAAATTATAATAACTTTTATTAATATTATTAAACTTATAGAAACCTGAATCTATTTCTATAAATGCTGCCCGAACAACTGTTGCTAATAAGTCAAGCAATCGTGTAATTATCTTCGACCTAATAACGCTACTATAAAGGTAATATCAAAGTCAACAAAAAAATTTGACTATAGCTTGGAATATATATATTTACATAAGAGTATAAATTATTTATTAAATATCATTGTTTTTAATTTAAATCACAAAGTCAATTAAGCAAGCAATTAGAAAACTTAAAAAATAGTAATAAAGTAACCTTTGTCATATTAAAGGCATCTTGTTTTCTTTTAGAAGAATTTTTAAAATGAAGTCGTCAAACTTTACGTAGGTTGAATAATGTGAAATGTAAATTTCTATTCAAATTTTTTATCTATTTATATTTATTTATAAATAAACTTAATATATAAAACTTAATTTTCTTAAATAGGGATTTTATTCAGAAATCATACTAAATTCTATCTAAAATATTTATTTATAAATAGTTTAAAAAAAATTGCAAAGGATAAGTTATAACTTATTAATATATTCCTTTATTAATATAATAATAAAAGCACTCTTATTTATAATATTTATAAATATTAAATAATTAAAAATAAAATAAATCAAATATATCAATAGAAATAATTTAAAATATTACTAGAAGTAATGTTAATAAAATGATTAGTGATATGATTATGAAAACTACCTATTTTATTAAAAATTAAATTAATATTTAAATCTATATTGACTATTAAAAAAAATTAAATTGATAAAATAATTTACAAATTAATTTATAAGAAAATAAAAATAATATCAAAATTATAAATCAATTCTTAGCAAAATTTATCCTGTAATAATGCATCTTATAATATTTATTTCTAGAATCAAATTAGTAAATCTTATAAATTAATTTGATTCTATTATAATATAATTTATATTAAATTTTAATTATTATTAAATAAAATAAGATTACCAGATCTTTTATAAATCTGATTACTTTTTTAACTATTTGATTCTAACAGAATTTTTATTTAGATTCAATATAATAAAATATAAAATTTTAAGTATAATCAAAAAAAACTAGTTAAGGATTATATATATTAAAGCAATTAATTTGATCTAATAATTATGCTTTTATTTCACTATTATGTAAATACTATTATTATTAAAAGTGCTTTAACAAGAAAACTAAAAAATGTTTTTAAACTAAAAAAAAAAAAAAAAAAAAAAGAATACAGTCAACCCTTGATATAACGAATTTTATGTCCTGAACTTCAACTTCGCTATAGAGCTATAGTGAATTTTT